GTTGGGATCGGACGATGGATGGGTGGGTTGGTCGGATGGATGGAGAATGGGTTGGGTTGGTTGGATGGACGGCTGGCTGGATGGAATGGGATGATGGCTGGTTGGGGTGGTCGGATGGATGGTCGGATAGATGGAGAATGGGTTGGGTTGGATAGATGGATGGGGTCAGACGGATGGATAGCTGGTTGGGATGGGATGCTGGAGAATGGGTTGGTCTGGTCGGATGGAGAATGGGTTGGGTTGGTCGGATGGATGGATGGCTGGTTGGGATAGGATGGGATGATGGATGGATGGCTGGGTTGGTCGGATTCATGGTCGGATAGATGGAGAATGGGTTGGGTTGGGTTGGTTGGTTGGATGGATGGATGGGTTGGGTTGGGTTGGGTTGGGTTGGGTTGGTTGGATGGCTGGCTGGGATGGGACGATGGATGGTTGGATTGGTCAGACGGATGGATAGCTGGTTGGGATGGGATGCTGGAGAATGGGTTGGGCTGGTCGGATGGAGAATGGGTTGGGTTGGGTTGGTCGGATGGATGGATGGAAAATGGGTTGGGACGATGGATGGTTGGATTGGTCAGACAGATGGCTGGCTGGTTGGGATGGGATGATGGAGAATGGGTTGGGTTGGTCGGATGGATGGATGGAGAATGGGTTGGGTTGGTCGGATGGATGGATGGAGAATGGGTTGATGGCTGGTTGGGTTGGTCGGATGGATGGGTGGAAAATGGGTTGGGTTGTTCGGATGGATGGATGGAAAATGGGATGGGACGATGGATGGTTGGATTGGTCAGACGGATGGATTGGGAATGGATTGGCTTGGTCAGACGGTTGCATGGCTGGTTGGGATGGGATAGTGGATGGTTGGGTTGGTCGGATGGATGGAGAATGGGTTGGGTTGGTCGGATGGCTGGCTGGATGGAGAATGGGTTGCGGTGGTCGGATGGCTGGCTGGCTGGTTGGGATGGGATGGTGGATGGTTGGGTTGGTTGGATGGATGGAGAATGGGTTGGGTTGGTCGGATGGCTGGCTGGATGGAGGGTGGGGTGGGGTGGGGGGGTGGGT